TTCATGTGGTAATGTGACTTCAGTAAAGCTTTTGATAAAGTACACAACCTCACAAACCTTTTCACTATCAATTGCTTCAAATATAGCAAATTTGTTAAACGTGAACGGCCGTTTGTAAAACTATGTTGTGAATCATTTATTAATCAAGGTTTTTAAAGACGACGAATGGCTTTTGCAACTATAGATTCAAGCAACTTTCACACAATAGACGTTAAGCTAATTGGCCGATAGTTTGACGCCAGCGATCTATCTCCTTTCTTGAAAATTGGTACCACATTAGCAACCTTCCATGACTCCGGCACTCTGCCTGACTAATGATTTATTAAGTATGGTAGACAATGGCTTGAAAAGCTCCTTTGCATTCTTTATACACCCTGGCAAACACTTCGTCCGAACCTGGGGATTTGTTTGACTCGAGTTTTACTATTTGTTTAATAACATCCTTCCTGGTGGTACTAAACTAGTCAACCTGTCCTCTTCCCCACCAATATCGACTTGTTCGGCAGAAGGCATATTGTTAAATACTTTAGTGAATACAGAGAATATATATATTTAAAATACTACTCATCTCCGTCATTATCAGTTATCTGTCTTAGTTTTTAATGGCCCTATATTTTCCCTAATCTTTCTTCCCGTCATCATAGGCTTCTTGTAAATTAATAAACAAACACTACAGTTATTTTTCATTAGACACACATTTAACAAAGTACACTTTTGCCTCTAAGGAACACATTACTGAACAGGTGATCAACCAAGGATATCCAAGTCTATATCAAATTTTCCTCTCCATTTTACAGAAACACAAGGTTAAGAACAAGTCTATTTTGCACGGCTTTAGGGACAGGAATGTTCACGTCTTATTGCTTTTTACTGGAAATACTGTCCTTTAATGACTAACATTAGACCTTTTAATAGGTTTTCTCCACAACTAGTTTGTTATTTCACGTTACTCCATCGTCCCTGGGGCGGTAGCCTTCTCAACTTTAACTGTCAATTATAGTTCATCCCGGGTAATGTCTGTGCAAGTGACACACACACACTACCTCTTGCCTGCTGTAAATATATAGTTCCTCCCTAGATCTGTTTGTTCCACTTACGGGCTATTCATGCCCGTGCCACCTCTTGGGTGGCTTAATCTTTATCACTCGATCAAATCTGTTTGATGGTGTTCTGGGAGTTGGTCTTCACCCCAAGATAGGTCCCAGGCCAGGCTTGACTTGTGACACAGAAATCACAATTGCGTGATGCATCAAATGAACAAATCCACAAGGGCCGTGACGAGGATTCGAACCTGCGTCCGAGAGCATCCCAGACGTTTCCAGATCCAGTAAGTTGTATACGAAACCTGTGTCACACCTGACAGCACCAGGTGTGTGCTGTCTCAGCAAGTATGGTATTTTAAATGTAGCACGAGATTAATAATTCCTTCACTACCAAGATAGACTGATGAACTAGGAAACTAGTTCCTAGCCACTAGGAAACTAGTAGTAATTTGTAGTCTAGAGAAAACTAGACAGTTTTATTCAAAAAGTGCCGGATCAACCGAGCTGTGGTGGATATGTGGGCCTGCGGACCGCTCCAAGCAACAGCTTGCTGGACCAAGTTCTCAAGTCGAGCCTAACCTCGAGGAGTAGAACAACTGCAGAACGCCATCAAGCAGGTATGGAAGCAGGTTGTGTGGGTGTCCGGGCAGGAGGTACTATCAAGGAGCCTGCAGCCGTCCACTACAACCTTGCACACTCACCTAACAAAAACATACTGGTTTTGCTCGTCTGTCATCCCACCTGCTTTCTCTAGCTCGACCGTTTGTGCATATTCTTCCTTTACTTAAGAGACATTACTTCCTGAAAAGGCCTCGAGTCTTCTTGTTTGCCATCCTCAATATCAGACTGATAACACAGCCCGTCCTCCTAAGGTTTCGCAATGTCAAGAAAACGGTCAATGTAAAGTGTCTCCTAACCTACCAGAGGACCAAAAACAGAAAACGGGACAGTACGTCACTTTTGCCAGCCGCTTTCTTCTAATTCGACAATTTATGGCCTTGTGTAACTCATACAGGCGAAATACGACGTTCTTTGTAAGAGGACGGGCTGGATAACAAGGGCGGCCACTCACTGGGGCACTTACCGAATGAACTTTTTGCTCATCTAGTAAGATCGCAAAGAACCCTTTTAGTGCTTCTAAAAGATAAGAGATATTTAGATCGCAAGCGCCCCTTTCTCTCGTCTAACCTCTCACACGGTCACACATTCACGAGGGGAAAATGTGCTGTCCCTAAACCCATTCTGAAGTTAAGATTATAAATGCTCTCTCCTGATGATGTTCTTATCTGTGTTTACGGCATTTTCCAATCTCCTTATAACATGGACCACCTATCACACGCGCTAGCAGCACCTCCCAGCGCGCCTGATCTGACCACAACACTCAAGGTGTTCCCAAAACAGAGCCTCCCGGTATATCTGCACCCCCCCCCCCTTCTAATAAAGCTACAGACACACACAGCACCGCTCCTGTGCCAGGTAAGCCCTCTACGGGCTCACCATAGCCCGTGCTACTTGGAACTTTGTTCCCAGTAGCTGAATCTATAACAACAACAATTCCAATAAAGACGAGCCAACTTGGGGGCATTGTTGTGACAACCTTCGTCACAATGTGTTCTTTCACAGCCTGTACAAAGTTGCCCAGGTGGGAGAACAGGGGGTTGAATACTGTCACACCTGTAATTTGTTACATCAGCAGTGTGCTGTAACTTCACCAGGAATTACAAACGAGGTTCCGGAAGGTACATGAGCCACGGTAATTAATGTCCCCGGGTCTCTCTCTAAATGGCCAGAGTACCTTGCTCTACACAAGTCGAGAGGCAAGGAATGTGGCTGGTGTAATCCAAATCCCGGTTAAGCTTAAGTCAACTAGTGAGAGCCGGCCAGCGAGCTACATCAAGGAGAACTACTGCCTCCCCTTACATCTGCACCTGCAGACAAAATCACAGAATTACAGCAATACAGACAATCTGAGATCCAACTGATGTTAGGAGGAAAATTATGAAATCATAACTGCCTCATCACTGCCCTTGAGGATTTGTTCATAGGTTATGAAAATACTACAGTAAAGGGCAGTTACAGCACTAAAGTGTAGTTCCTAAACCACAATACCCATCACAGGATAATGAAGTTAGATGATATACGCAATATATCACATTAACTTGAATCGATAACCCGCTCACTTGGTACTCCCAAGATGGTATTATCAGCCATTCGTTCAAGAGTGACAAAGGTACATAAATAAGTCAATGTGAAAGCAAAAGAAAAAGTACAGGAGGACCAGAAGCCGGACTGACATGCCAAGTGAGAGCGCGCGCGCCAGCACAAGTCACACACTACATCATACCAGTTCACAGATGAATATTTGACATTTGACAAATAACTAGCTGGAAGCAATTTACGCATAGTTGTAGGAGAGAGTTGAGGAGAGTAGTGTGCGTGAGGGCGGGGGGGGGGGGGGTAGTGATGCTGGCTGCCTCGCCTACAATGGATGGCGTGCCTTTTAAACCATACAGTAGTTAATATTGTTCTCCTATACTGCTCTCTCCTCTCACACCCAGTCAAAGGCAGAAACGTTCCTATTTATTACAACTATTACAGCTAGAAATGTGAAGTTATCAGTACAATATTCTATATGTAACAACTTGAGACAATGTCTCTCGGGATCTCGCAGATTGTGAACAATAATTTACTAACTAAATAATAATGCAGAGAAGTCATAATAAAGTGGAGGAAAACAGACCAACCCACAAACATGAAAAAGGGAACACTTGGACTGTAAGGCTCGTCCTGGACCCTTTATCAAGTGGCAGCTAAAAACATTGTCGTTTTATATTCAGCTACTGGGAAAAAAAAAGTTGCAAGTAGCACGGGCTATGGTGAGCCCGTAGTGGACTTACCTGGCACAGGCGCGGGGCTGTAATGCTAAAATAGTGAGGAAGGCATTACAAGGCCACAGTGAAGATGAGGTGGGAGGAGAAGGGTGTAAGGAGCTAAAAGCAGATCTCTAGATGAAAGGTAAGCAGAAGTGATTGAGAGTAAATGCAAAAAGTAAATAAAGGAGAGGAGGAAGGGGAATAACGAACAACACTCGCACACAGATGGTGACGGAGGAGACGAGAGCATAGTGCCACACTACTAGTTCACGTCATACTGTAAGAATATCAGAAACATGTAATTATGTACTTTACACAACAAAGAGGTCTAAGGTTCATGTTGAGGATGTATACATAAGCCAATTCAAGACGATGGCGTTTGTCGAGATAAGAATTAAACATTATTTTACAAAAGATTCAGACTATTATGATTGAACATGACAGAAGAGAGCACTGTTTTTGTCAGCAAGTTTAACACAATGTTCCTCAAGTGTGTAGAGAAGACTGCGGCAACATTCACCTAAGTACGGGAGAGGCCAAGAGGAACACGAAATAGTAAACACTAACAGCAGTGAACCACATTACTACTGTTACTATCACAGGGACTGGTCCTCTAATATGACATCCTAAAAATGATATGACAGCCAGAAGTTAATTTGTACGGGATGTGAAATGAGAGAACGGGGGGGGGGGGGGAGGGATTGACACGCTCACACAACCATCAACTCTTGAGCTCCGAACATCCAGGAAGGGTATTCGATATCCATTCAACTTTCATAATGATAGAACAAGTTTATTTACAGAAGATGGGAAAGGCTGGAAAGAGACAATGCAATCAAAGAGCACAAATAATAATAGTATAAAAGAAGTCAGTATAAAAGAAAAAGAGTATCAAGCACTAGGAAAAGTAACAAAGTATTTCATATCAAGTTTGGCAAGAGGAGAGAGCTGATATTCCCAGGGTGGAAGAAGGGGCAGAGTTGAGGTGTTGTGGAAGATGATGAAAGAGTAGGCACAGTTGAGTGAGAGAACTTGAAGAAATAGTGAGAGTGAGAGAACTAAGAACTTGTGAGAAATAACCAACCCGTTAAACAAGGTAACTTGTAATGGTAGTGATGTCAGGTGGAGCTCGAACCGCGACCACTGCTACAGCCGCTCCGACCACCACCGCCAACCATACCTATCAGGGAGAGAAACGTTAACACTCGCCAACAACACACAATAATAATCCTCATATTTCAAATGTAATAAATACATTCAAAAGCTTTACTCTGCAAACAAGTCAATGTTGACAATGTAAAATATCATAAGAGTATGACGAGTGACCATAGGTCTACCCATCACTAGTCCACTACCTCCACTTACAAGTCATATTTAACACACTACACAGTAATCACAATAGCGTGATGCATCAAATGAACAAATCCACAAGGGCCGTGACGAGGATTCGAACCAGGCCCAGTTGATCATGTCGTAGCTCAGTCGATAAAGGCAGCGTCTGGGATGATCTCGGACGTAGGTTCGAATCCTCGTCACGACCCCTTGTGAATTTGTTCAAGTCATTAAATATTGTATAAACCTAACAACATAATTTGAGGTACCTGAAAATGAAGAGTTGATGGTAAGAGCTGTATCACAGGAAAAAGCTCATTTTGTTATTGTGAGCCAGGGTTGGTATTTACATGATCTGCCTCACCTCATCACAAGTCTAAATGTTTTCAACAAGCTATTGCAATGGTTCTCAAACTATTACAGTGTTTCTCAACAAGGTTTACAAAGCCTCGATCAACACATCATCAAGTAGCAAACATCAACAAGAATGAACATTGTAAACATTAGTAGGATGCCTACCTCCAGCAATTAATATTACTCCATGACCGAGTTTGGCCGAGTCCTGGTGTCTTCAAGAGTTTCTTTCTCTGCAGGCACCATACCACAGCTGCACACTCCAGTTTTGTCTGATATGCGTTATACAGTATATAATTGTCCAATATGTACAAGAATTACGTTGTACTGAATCCTTAACGTGGTTTTATGGTAAAAAAATATCCCTCTTTATTACTCCGAGGTCCATTTTTTTATCTGATTTCCTTAGAATGTGGGGAGTGTTGGCGGTGGTGGTGGTGGGGGTGTTGGCAAGCCTGGCCCGGCCTCCGCCAGCACTCGTCAAGTCCTCAGTAGTAAAGTGAGTCCTCTGGCGTAAAGTAAGGGCACCACATTATTGAAGTGTACACATCACTGGATGGCCTTGATAACAAACACCCCATATATTAAGTATGCTTACAAACATTAACTAAACATACAACACCAAACAATTTAAAGTAATAAAATTGGCGGCGCCTGTCATAGGGCAAGAGGCCTCCTGGAGAGACTTCTTGTTCACCACCATCTCTGCCACAGTGTACAACACCCACAACACTACACCTCTCTATGTTAAATATATTTATGTTAAGAACACAAGACGGCAGACAACGTGTTAGTCAATTCCGGCCAGGTTTTACCTATTCCCAGCCGTGACGTTACTTGGTAACGTCTTCCACACATCCGGAGCCTTAGTCACTGCCTGTATGTGTCTGGCCAAGCTCATTATGCATCACGCCCACTTTACTAAACTAAAGATATTCTATTATTTTATACATGCATACATTAAGGGTCAGACGACTTCAGTCCTCTTGTACAGTCAGTGTGGCCATCGGTAAAAGTACTAGACACACCAAGGAACACGCAGCCCTGACTGTCCGGGTTCGAATCCTTGAGGGGTAAAGAGTTAAGATGCATGTTAGCTTGGGGACCATTCAAGCACGCACACATCTGAGCATATCTCATACCAATTAACAAGGAGGGTGCGTGTCCTGAACAATAAATGCCGCTTGACTAAGTTTATATTGAGGGGTGTGGGGGAGTGTGTGTGTGGGGGGGGGGGGGGTGTGTTGGAGGGGTGTGGGGGAGTGTGTGTGTGTGGGGGGGGGGGGTGTGGGAGTGTGTGTTAAAAATGTGGCATCTTTTTGTTGCCGAGGCGAAGAGGTATAGTGGTGGTGGAGTGACCACCTTGTGAGGTGGCGGCCGCTACCACTAACAAGGGGGGGGGGAGCACGTGGGTTAAGTGAGGTATCAGTGTGGAGGGGAGGGGTCAGACCGAGGGTCACCCATAATCTCCCCCCCCCCCCGGCCACCCGACACAAATTATTAATATGAAGAAATTGTCAATATTTCTTTGCTTAATATTTCAGTATACGACGAGAAATTGAACGTAATGGTAGATGGTGTGGAAATGTGTGAGCAGTAAGTGGGGGAGGACAGGTTGGTGGTGGGAGGCAAGAGCACTCCCCATGAGGGCGGCGTGGTGGGTGGTGGTGGTGGGCGGTCATGGGTCACCTACACCTACCAGTGACGATGCTCGCCCCTCACGCCTAGCCACACTTTGGAGGGGCCAGGTACTTCAGGTACAAGGTGGGGGAAGAGGTCAGGTCACTGGAAGCTACAAGGGGGGGAAGGTCCATAAATACTGAAGACTCAGAGTAAGGGGGGCAGTAAACAGTGAGCAGTGTGGGGCAGTAGTGTGGTCCAGAGCCCCGGGAGGCGACAGGAATACGGAGAAGCATGCAGCTGACTGCCAGATCAGGTTGGGGTCAGGTGGAGCTTTTGCGGGGTGGGGGGTCAGTCTGGGAGGGGGAGGGGGAAGTTAACTTTGCATACCCGTCCAGGCAGGTACCGTTACCCCAACACGTGACCTTGACGAGCCTAATCTGGGTCCCAGCCACAACACTCACACAAGCACCAGCGACTCGTACATAACCCACCATACTCACTATTTCTTAGACCTTTACACACCAACTCTTACCTCCACTCCCTCCCTCCCTCCCTCACAACCCGCCAGAAAAAGACATCAGCTTAGGAATAATTATTTTTTGTCAATAAAGATGTTAAAATATAACAATAGATGTTATTCAATATTTATAAAGAAATGCAAAGTGCCGGTAGCACAGGCACTCAGTATAGTGTGAAGGAAGAGCTTGGACACGGGGGAGATACCAGATGCACTTAAAGTAGCATAGCCCCTCTACACAAGGGAGGGAGCAAAGCATTGGCAAAGAATTATAGACCAGTTGCACTAACATCGCACATCATAAAAGTATTTGAGAGAGTGATTAGGAGTCAGGTCACCAATTTCATGGAGACCAATGACCTTCACAACCCAGGCCAACATGGATTTCGAGCGGGAAGATCGTGCCTCTCACAGCTACTTGAGCACTACGACAAAGTCACTGAGGCATTAGAAGAAAAACAGAATGCTGATGTGATATACACGGACTTCCCAAAGACTTTCGATAAATGTGACCATGGCGTGATAGCACACAAAATGAAGTCAATGGGAATAACCGGTAAAGTAGGACGCTGGATACTCAGTTTTCTGTCAAACAGGACTCAGCGAGTAACGGTCAACCATATAAAATCTAGTCCAAGTGCAGTGAAAAGCTCTGTACCTCAGGGTACAGTCCTTGCACCGCTGCTTTTCCTTATTCTCATATCTGATATAGACAAAAATAAAAGTCACAGCTTCGTATCATCCTTTGCAGATGACACAAAAATCAGTATGAAAATTACCTCGGCTGAAGACATTGAAAAACTTCAAGCTGATATTAATAAAGTTTTCGACTGGGCATCAGAAAATAACATGTTGTTTAACAGTGATAAATTCCAGGTACTCAGGTACAGTAAAAATGAGGACCTTAAACATAATACAGAGTACAAAACACAATCAAATGTACCCATAGTAGGAAAACAGCATGTAAAGGATTTGGTAATAATAATGTCTGACGACCTAACGTTTAGGGAGCATAACCAAGCAAATATTGCGACAGCCAGAAAAATGATAGGATGGATTACGAGAACTTTCAAATCCAGGGATCCCATCACAATGGTTGTACTCTTCAAGTCACTTGTGTTGTCCCGTCTTGAGTACTGCTCAGTACTCACTTCCCCCTTCAGAGCAGGAGAGATTGCTGAAATAGAGGGAATACAGAGAACATATACGGCACGCATAGACGCAATAAAGCACCTAAATTATTGGGATCGTCTCAAAGCCCTCCAAATGTACTCACTAGAAAGAAGACGAGAGAGATATCAAATAATATACACCTGGAAGATACTGGAGGGCCAAGTACCAAATCTACACAGTAAAATAACAACGTACTGGAGTGAACGATATGGAAGAAAATGTAGAATAGAACCAGTGAAGAGCAGAGGTGCCATAGGCACAATCAGAACACTGTATAAACATCAGAGGTCCGCGGTTGTTCAACGTCCTCCCAGCTAGCATAAGAAATATTGCCGGAACAACCGTGGACATTTTCAAGAGGAAACTAGATTTATTCCTCCAAGGAGTGCCTGACCAACCGGGCTGTGGTGGGTATGTGGGCCTGCGGGCCGCTCCAAGCAACAGCCTGGTGGACCAAACTCTCACAAGTCAAGCCTGGCCTCGGGCCGGGCTTGGGGAGTAGAACTCCCAGAACCCCATCAACCAGGTAACAACAAAAATTCTATCCCCCGTCCGGCGTCAAAGATTCGCATCTGAACAAATCGTGCTCAACGAACTTGGAGTTTCTACAAAGATGGGCTAACTGCATATTCATCGACTACTACTGAAGCTATAGAAGGTAGGCTAGTAGCTGCTTGATGGGGGTCTGGGAGGAGTTCTACTCCAAGACGTGTATACCACATCTGCATTCTCTTTCTTCAAATGCCTCAGTGATTTTGTCGTAGTGGTCGAGTAGCTGTGAGAGGCCACAATTCTTCCTGCTCTAAATCCATGTTTCGACTGACTCTTGATCACTCTCTCTAATACTTTATGGGACGTTAGCGCAACTGGTGTATAATTCTTTGCCAATGTTTTGCTCCCTCCCTTGTGTAAAGGGGCTATGCTGCTTTAAGCGCATCTGGTATCTTCCCCCGTGTCAAAGGTCTTCTTCCTCCACACTATACTAAGTGTCTGCGCTACTGGCACTTTGCATTTCTTTATAAATATTTAATTCCACGAGTCTGGACCCGGGGCTGAGAGCATGGGCATGTCAATTTATCTTTCAAAATCTGCCACGCTCGTGTTGATATCAGTTATATTTATAGGGGTTTGGATATCACACAAAGAAGTTGTCCGGATCTTCCACTTTCATGCTGTTTATCGGAGTGCTAAACACGTCCTCATAATGTCCTGGTGTACCGGGAAGTCCTGATGTGGGTGAGAAATTATTCCCAGAAAGGGAGAAGGGGGTTACAGTAGGAGCGGACATAGTGGAGTGGAGAGAGGTTACAGAATCCTTCGGGAATTACAAATAGTCAATTACACTAATACAGTTAGTTTCACTGTATGTGAAACCAACACCTTCACAGTTATACTCCTCCCCCGCCTACCTTACCTTACCTTTCCTTTCCACGATTCCGAGGATCAAGGTCCCTGTGACCTGGCCTGTGGCTCAGGCCTCCTGGTTGGTGAGGTCTTTTGGCCTTTTGCTCCCTTTGCCTCTTGGATTTTTTATGATTCTCTCAGCTTGAGCACAAATAACAATGATCTGATTACATATAATGAATGTAATTACTTGTTACTCAGATCACAACTTGATCGAAGTTCAAACGAGCATAGGCAATTGGAGGAGAGGCAATCTCAGAGGAGGAGAATTCAGCAAATAAAATTTCAATAAACTGATTAACTGGGAACAAATAAACCAAGACCTCGCAGAACTATGCTGGGAAGAACTACATAATACAGACAAGATTGAACCAGTGAAGAGCAGAGGTGCCATAGGCACAGAGAACACTGTATAAACATCAGAGGTCCGCGGTTGTTCAACGTCCTCCCAGCGAGCATAAGAAATATTGCCGGAACAACCGTGGACATCTTCAAGATGAAACTAGATTCTTTCCTCCAAGGAGTGCCGGACCAACTGGGCTGTGGTGGATATGTGGGCCTGCGGGCCGCTCCAAGCAACAGCCTAGTGGAACAAACTCTCACAAGTCAAGCCTGGCCTCGGGCCGGGCTTGGGGAGAAGAAGAACTCCCAGAACCCCATCAACCAGGTAAAGGAGGAAATAAGGCAGAGGCAAAAAATTACACCCAAAGCACTAACATTCCACATCATAAAAATCGTTGAGAGTGCTAAGAAGTAAGATAACGAAATACATGGAATAACAGCATCTCCAT